AGTGAAAACCTATACTAGGTGAAATAACCCATTTTTGATTATTTTCATCAACAATTAATAAATTCATAACTCAGTCAAAATCCATCCAGCCTACACCAGAATGTCAGAAAATACTCTATTTTATCCGCTCATTCTGATTCTTTATGTAAAATCAATAAAAAATATTCTCTTAGTTCCGAAGGTTTCTGCGAAATCTTTCTAGAAACCAAAGAATTTACTGTTTGTTTTTTCAGCATTTGTTGAGCTTTACGCTATGATGCAGTTAAAATAGAGTATTTTCTGACATTCTGGTATAGACTGAGTTATGAATTTATTAATTGTTGATGAAAATAATCAAAAATGGGTTATTTCACCTAGTATAGGTTTTCACTCGATGTTGCATTTTGTTCTGAAAACTAACATTGCCACGAGATTCAGCATAGTCGATAACCTATGTTTTCATTCATTTCTGACAGTCCCAAACCTAACGGCAGAGAAGTGCTAAGGCTTCAGGAAAAACGTCCGAAGCTCCCGAACCACGGATTTCTAAGATGTCACTTAAGTCCAGTTTTGTAGAGGACACTTCGGACTATATATCTATGGAAAAAGTTTAATTTTAACTCCAATATTTATTTTGACGATTGCAAAGCCATTAGGAGGTTTCCAGAAAACTCCTAGAAAACCGTAAGTTTTTGAGATATAATTTTGATAACCTCATACATTTGAAGTACATAGTTTAGCAAGTGCAAAACAAAAAACAAAAAAATTTTAACTTTCGAGCTCTTGCTAGGAGAGAAGATCTCCAGAAAACCTTGTTTTTTCAGCGAAAAACCCAAGGGGGTAAAAGCACCACTTCACCACTTCATTTCACTTCACTTCACTGCTGAAACGGCGCCCCTGATGGGGGAGAGAAGCAAGGGAGGGAAAGTACCATTTCACCACTTCCGCTTAACTTGAAGTGAACTTGAAGTGATTTTTTATTGTTTCGACCGTTTCAGCAGCGTTTTACCTAGGTGAAGTGAAATAAAGCGGTGAAGTGGTGTTTTTACCCCCTTGGAAAAACCTCCCAAAATCTCTAAAATTTTTCTTTTAATCAAATAAGTTTTTAGATAGAATACAATGTGCTCTATTCGATGAGTGTATTGAATAAAAATTTTAATTATCGTAGATGTTTTTATAAAAATGATTCCAAGACCTGTAAATTGAAAATCCAGGTTTTCCAGACCCCATTATGAAAGCCAAAGTGAAGGAAAACTGATATTACCATTAAATTTGGCATCGTGCATAACCTCTAGGCTCTGACTTTTAAGTTGCAACCTCTTCGTTTAAGCACTTTTTCTGTTATTTGAAATTCCTCTCATTAAATGAAAGAACCATGTACAGGTATCTCTTTAAATGTATAGTACAGATGATATTTCTTACTCCATTGCGGGGCACAGCTGGTTCGCAAGCCAAGCATCCTTTTTTTTTTTCTTCTGTACAACGTTGTTTAATATCTTCAGAATTATCTTGAACTGAAAAAAGGGAAAGTGAGAACTTTGGTCCATATAAAGAGTTGACTTACTAAATGTTATAGGAATTGAGAAATTTTCTTTGTTTGAATCGTCTCTCATCTTTTCGCTTGATAGCCCAACTTCTTCTAAGTAGTAATGAATAAAATAATTGAAATCACAAATTATGCTCACAATATTGTGAGACTCGAGATTCGATACAACTTTTTAACGTTCTCAAAATATTAGTGGAATACACAGTCACTCTTTCACCCTGTTTACAGAGTTTCTTCATTCAGAGTACCCAAAAATCTCGTTCCTCAAGGCTATCAGAGATCCATACATTGAACATTTCAATTATTGACTCTTTACACAGTCTAGAAAGAACAGGCAGAATTCCATAACTATAAGTGTCAAGTCAACCGTACTGTGCAGTCTGAAGTATTTAAAAAAGGACAAAGGCATTTTTAATTTACACGACCCGTTATTCAGCTTTTATGTGTGTTTCAGTCGCTTACTCGGTTCAACTTTCACTTTTTCCGATTCTTTGACATCGATGCTATTGTCATCATTTTCACGTTTTCGTTTAGCAAGATTTAGTCGATATTCCTGTTCTTTCACTGTTTGGCACGTAACGTCGTCGACCAAAAACCAGTCCTCTTGGACAGTTCCGTTTAGTTTGTACTTGACAAGATATTGATAATGATCATGTTTTGCTTTGACGATTGTTCCATTTGCAGTTATGTAACGTTTTTGAAATAATTTGAACCGTTTGCCATGTAATTTCACCATTACTCTTTCTGAAACGAAGAAGTAGAGACCACACAGAGTATCAAGTATACAGGAGAAATAGAAAAGATATATAAAACAGCACTTATCTGAATTTCTGTTCATCCTCGTGAAACCGATGTTCGTTAGTTCAGAAACGATAAATTATAAAAACAAGTAAATTTCTATTTCTATGTCTATTTCTATTAAACAAGTAAATAAATGAAGAATAAATCATAAAGAAACGCAGAGTAAAAAAACATCCGATGCAAATTATAAACCTAAATAAAACGTAAGAAATAGAAATGGATCATATTACGTACGTAGAACAAAGTATCTCAAGCCTAATAATCATGCTTACAGCGTTCTAAACATGTTACCTCCAACTTCATATTTAACGCATATGGCATTTTTTTCATATATCTCTTGTTGTTTTCCATAATATTTTTGCATTTTTTGCTCGGCATTTGTTTTAGACTCCATTCTTTCTTGTAATCGTTTTTGGATCTCATCATCGTTCACATTTTCATCAAGATCAACATAATCCTATTGAAAATATATTACTGCATTTTACAAAACAAACTGCCTGTTCGATACTTACATCATCATCATTTTCATCCTGTCCATTGTCACTACCATTTCCATGAAAATATTGGCGTCCATGATAAACATAAAACGGCGATAAATTGCCTATTCAAAAAATGAATGATCAACTTATGTACTTGTATTTTAACGATTTTACCTACCTAAAGCTCTATTATTTGTCGTGTTATACGTTTCAGCATATGATGGTAATTTAATTAGCCAGTTTGTTTCATTATTAACCAAAAAGTCAAAGATTAGTTTTGATTTCCACGTTCGATTGATACGTTCCACCTACAAATACTTATTATATTAATGTCAATACATGTATGCATTCACAGCTCTTACTTTCCCCTGTGATTCGGGGTGATATGCACTACTTCGAATTCGACGTATGCCTCGTTCTTTGCATAATTCAGTCAACGCACCGAGAAATTCTGTACCACGATCTGTCTGAATTATTTTCGGATTACCGTTCTCCGCAAATATTTTGCTCAACTCATGAGCAACCTCTCCTAAAACAGAATAATGTAATGATGACGATGAAAACAAGTCGGAGAATACCCTGAGCTTCGACGGACATTCTATTATTTTTCGGGCGTGCAAGTGGAAGGCTCTGAACACATCGAGCATTCACGTTTTTCTTGTTCTTGACTCCTTTTGACGTGTAAATGCTTTTTCACCTACCAGCACTTTTTGTTGTTAATGGACGAAGCCACAAGTATCATGAAAAAATATCTAGTACCACCAGAACATAATTACTAAAACAATAAAAGATTGTTTTGCTTTGCAAAATACAATTAGTTCGATAAGTCAGTAAAAACTATAGACAGATGGATCAGTGTACTTACAACTGTTGACCACCATGAAGAACAGGTTTTTTGCTTAAATCGACCAGATCAACTTGTACTCTTTCCATTATTGCTCTAGCTTGGATTATCTTGTTCGGTTTTTTGTTCGAAAATTCAGGTTTTACCATTCCATTTTCGCCACTTGATTTGATCACGTCGACGATACGATTTTCAGATATACGATAATACATTTTGTCTAAATTATACAAATAGGACTCAAGAATGTCAAGTTCTATTTAATCATATTATCCTTCACTTTGGAAAAACAGTTTCGAGTTAGTGCTCTTATTTTGTTCTAAAGTATCCATTTTTTAAAAACTTCACTCAACCTAAAGTTTCACTTACTTAACGCTGCATGCACCGTTCGTGTAGCACCACCAAAACGATTTTTGTAATAACACATAACAAGTTCAGCCACATCTTCATCAGCGACCAAAATTAGACCACCGAGAATAACACCTTCTTTCTCATCCCCACCGAGAACATCATCAACGTAACGTTTGATAGAAATGTTTTTCTTATTTTTTCGAATGAATTCGCAGGCTTTATGAATGTTGGGATCGTTTGACGTTTTAGCTTGACTAAACAAGGAAAAACTATTTTTAATACAATCAACAATAAAATTTAGCGAGGTTTTACTGAGATGAGTCTGTCTACTGACTTTAGCTTCCATCTACACGAAAAAAACGAGAAATATACAAAAACAGCTAAAATACTTACACCAACCTAACTACACAAATAAACAATGAAACACAGTCATACACAAGAAATTACGGAAGTTATACTGCAAATATTTAAATAATGAGCAAACAACAATAAAATTGACTGTACAAAGAAACGAAAGGATAACGCAACTAAGGAGAGAATGGCGAAAAAAAGGCAAGAACTGTGTTGAACAAAACAGAAGTAAGCGCAGCGAAAAAACTTATTTGTTTTAGCTGACCAATGAAGTGTGTGACAGTCTAAATAGATAAAACAAAACAGAAGTGAGCGCAGCGAAAAACTTATTTGTTTTAGTTGAGCAAAGGAAGTGTGTGATAGTCTAAATAGATAGCAATCTGAAAAGAAAAGCAGAATCTTCCATTTCATCATGCATATCCGATGAACAACAATCGCTTTTCCTCAGATCCCTGATCTTATTAAGTTACTTTCAGCCGAGTTTTGCAATCAAAAACACAGAAGAAATTTCATAGTCGCGGTGCACTTCACTGCTGTCAGCTAGTGAACACACGGTAGACATGAAAAGTGCAGATCTCGTTCTTAAAACACTATTTTCTTCTTAATTCTACATATTTTCAGTCTATCTTATTCATATATGACTCATATCCCTTAAACGGTGCAATTTAATTCGTTTCCATTAATTATCCACGAGTTCTACGGAAAAATCCCTAAAACATCTTAAGGTCAGTTGTTATAGTAATATTCGGCTTCTGTTCCAATCATTCTCTCCGTTTGCCATCTTACTTGAACCTCTATGATGAATTCTGCTATGTCCCATAAGTGGTTGGATTCCCTTAATCGGTGACCACACTTGACGGCAGACAAAAAGTTCCCCTCGAAATTTTTGCCTCTCCCTCAGGTTTTTGTCTAAAATTTTGGACAAAAACTTGTTTTTCGAAACACATCGAATTATATATCATCTGATGCAGTTTTCCTCGTAGATTCC